TGCCGTCAGGAGTCCATTTGGATCCATAAGTCTCCTGGGGCGGACCATTCTAATGGGTCCACCACCCCTGCGGAGGTTAGAAGGTACAGTCAGTCTAAACCTAATCAGGTGGTGATCGGTCCATGACAACGGAGCGATGGTCAGCTCCTCCGCCCCGACACCGTCACCCCATCCCTGCGTAAAGACCAAATCCAATGTGTGTCCGGCAATATGGGTGGGACCAGATATTAGTTGGGACAGGCCCATGGTTGTCATGGCGGCCATAAAGTCCTGAGCTGCACCTGAAAGAGCGGTCTCGGCATGGATATTGAAATCCCCCAGGACTAAAAGCCGTTGGGAGCTCAACGCCATGTCCGAGACCACTCCTGCTAGCTCAGGTAGGGAGACTGTCGTGCAGCGGGGTGGTCGGTACACTAACAGAATCCCTATCCTGTCCCGGTCACCTAACCTAAAGCCGGCACACTCGAAAGACGATGATTGTGGGATGGGGCACCTGATCAGGGGAATACAAACCTTATAGACTACTGCCACTCCTCCTCCCCGCCCTCCGGGTCTTGGCTGGTGCTGCACAGAGTAACCTGGCGGGCATAGTTGGGAGAGGTTCACCCCTCCCCCCTCGTCCAGCCAGGTCTCCGTTATGCATGCCAGGTCGGCTTGTTCCTCCTGAATTAGATCTCGAATGGTGGAGGTTTTTCCATTTACCGACCTGGCATTGAACAGCACCATCCTTAACCCCAAGGGACCACCATCCTGGCATCTCAGCTGTATCTTGTCAGGAGAATTTTTTGGAGTTGCCAATATATTCCTACCATTTTCGGGCCGAATCGTTTGCAAAGTTGTAGTATGGTTAATCTTTGGGATTGCCAATGTTCTATTATACTTTTTGGGCCAGGTTTGTTTTTGTCTTGCATCCTTAAAATATTTTGAATACGCCAAATTATTGTTCGAATTTTTGGGTCGGATTGAGTAATTTGTTCTCCCTTTCCCGTATCTCCCTCTCCCTGTCACCACCTCTATAGCAGCCCCTTCACCCGCAGAACCACCTACCCCGGGGGGAATTCCTCCAAGCTCCTGATTTGTCGTATCAGGTGTTAAAGCATAGTAATAGCAGACATTGTTGTAATTGTATAACTCTGAACCCCTAGAGTCCTCCACCCCCCTGCTTCCTACTCCTTCCCATGTGTTGGAGAACATAAAGTGCATTTGAATAACACTGGTAGAGAAGGCTGTCAGTAATAACAAGATTGACAAAGGTGGTCGCATCAGTCAATTACTAGTAGTTCGTAATGTGGAGCTAGGGTTGGACTAGGGTACAGGGCTGTCTAAAGTGCTATAGTGCCACGCCTCACAGCAGCTTATTGGTTTGGGACCAGTTGATAGCTTATAACGACCCAGGCGTTCTAAAGTGCAGGATTAAAGTGCTAGAAATTAAAGTGCTAGATGGTTTCTATGGCTCAGATTCTGATAGTACCATAAAGTCTCAGTGATGGATTAAAGTGCTCAATAGTTCAATAACTCAGAGTCAGTGCCCACAAGAAACCCGATATCATTCAATTAGGATGGGCAGTTGGAACCATAGGGCCCGGCTTCTAGGGCCCGTGGACAGCAAACCGGCACCCCTCGGTCTGGCCCCTAGTTCTTCTTGACCGTAAACCCCATACTTCTGCTGCATATAAAAGCATAGGTATAACCTTAGCTTTATACACTTTAATTATTGGGATTATGGTACCTGGGTAGCTATGTGTTTTTAGCTTAAGTATTAGATTCAGGCTAGCCTTTGCCCTGAGGACACTCCTTTGGTGATGAGAAGTCCAAGTAAAGAATAAGCTGTTTACTCTTCGTTATGCAGAGCAACATATATGCAGTCATGTGAACAGTTGCATTTACTC